CGGGAGCAGCGCGGCCGAGGCTGCGGAGTCCCGGCCGAAGGATTGGGAAGGGGTCGCCGCCTCTGGGCGAGGTCGGAAGCGAGTAGGCCGAGGAGGGCGGTGGAAGGCTCCCGGGAGGAACGGCCTGTCGGGGGAGCGCAGGCTGGCTGCACGGGCCGAGTGCTCCTCGGGAAGATCTGCGGGTATGAGGTGTGCCAGAGAGGGACGTCCCCAGCCTCAGCTGCGGGCGTCTGTCTGCAGCCCGCCCTCTTCACCCCGAAACCCCCTCATGTACTGGCCACTCCAGATTCTCCCAAGGGGCCTGTAGGCGTCCGTCAGTCCCCTGCTGTCTGTCCGCTGAGTTTTTCGGGTGTGCCTTGTAGAGTCTATGTAGCGCTGGACAGGTCTCTTGTATCAGTTGTAGAGGAAGAGGTTGAGCCAGAGCAGGTGTTCTTCTGCTCCCAGGCTAGTGTTCTGTCCACAGTGTTCCAGTTTTTACGTACAGCAGTCACCTTTCAGTCAGATCATTTAAAAACAAAACAGTGTCTATGCACAGGAATCCTACTTTTGAGCGCTGAAATGCTGAATTGCTATGGCTGCATCGAGTTTTAAGCAACTTAAAGATACAGTAGAAAAATATGTGAGTAGCCAGGTGGGTGGTAATTTTCTTTTCTCCCTTTCTCCATCCACCTTTGCCTCCTTCCCTCCCTCCCTCCCATCTTTCTTGACCTCCCTCCTATTCCGTCTTGTTTCCCTGCCTTTGTATTAAGTGGGGTCCAAGTGACAAAGCAATGTTTGCATTCCCCATTGAGATTCCAGCCCACCTAAACAGCTTGTGAGTGTGTTGGTATTAATGATGTGTGCTTCTTCCCTGTCACCCATTTCACCCATCGACAGTTTCCACTGGGTGTGATTTTGTTTGGTGGCTCTGTTTCGGGAGATTGGGTCCGCCAGCAGCAGTCAGTCACTTTCCTGAGAACAACTGAAAATGTACAGACTGCAGGTGAGTTTCCTGGCTGTGTCTCTTTACTCCCTCATGCCTCTTCTTTGAGTCAGACGTTTTCTAAAAATCTGATTTTTAAATGGAAATTTAAAATAAAATAAAATGGAAATGCAGGAGTGGATAAAAGACATTATCATGTAAACTGCAGTTAGAGTGGCAGATGAACCTTGAGAATTTCTTTTTTTAAACCAAGGTCTGTTTTTCTCCTTGACAGACACAGCAAAGGGAAAATAATATTTATTACAAACTGTGCATTGACTATTGGAAGAAACCATTTCCAGGGTGTATGGCCTAGGCCAGTAATCTAGTATTCTCTGAGGCTGAAGCAGGAGGATTGGAAGTTCGGGCCCATCCTGAGCAATTTAGCTAGACCCTGTCTTGAAATAAAAATGGAGATAGAGTTCTGTGAGAATTCCCTGGGTTTAAGCCCAGTACTCCGCACCTGCCCGGCTTGAAAAAGAAGGAACCATTTTTGTTACTCTTGTGTTTTAAAAATTTCCTAGAAAAAATTCTTTGTTGAAGTTGATTTAAAAATTGGGCCGGCTTTCCCAGTATCCGAAATCCATAGATCATTGCAGTGTATGACATTCTTGTTGTGAATGTAAGGGTGGGTTAACTGCCCCAGAAGAGCTTCGTACATGCCATTTTTCCAGTTACTAAAATGTTGTGAGCAAAATACACATTTTTGGGAGGGGGCAGGGTCTCACTGTGTAGTTTATTTAGACTGATCTAGAACTCACTGTGCAGTCTAGACTGGCCTTGAACTTGTGGAGATCCTCTTGCCTCAGCCACCACACTTGGCTAGTATCATCCTTTCTAATATATATATATATATATATACACCTTGTATTTGAAGTTTCATTTTCTAAAATTTTGGGATATGTTCTTTTCTGTCAGGTTACAAATAGAGTACATGTTTCACAGTTGGTTTAGCCATAGTAGCCCAAATATGTCCTTATTGTATTATTTTGCCCCCTCCCCTTTGATTTTTCTTTGTGAGGTACTGGGGATTGAGTCTGGGACCTTTGCAATGAGATACATCCCCAGTCCTGTTTTAGTTTCTCTTTTGAGACAGGGTCTCACCAAGTTTCTAGGCTACCTGTGCTAGGGTCGACCTTGTGATCTTCCTTCCTCAGCCTCCCAGAGTGTTGGGATTACAGGCCCAGCATACCAGTTTTGTTTTGTTTTGTTTTTTTTTTTGAGACAGGGTTTCACTATGTAGTTCAGGCCGGCCTTAAATTCACTTGAATATCCCAGGCTGGCCTCAAACTTGCAGTGATCTTTCTGCCTTGGCTCTCAAGTTCCCTATCAGTTATTTTTGAAGAAACTGGGATGCATATCTTTAGTTTCTCAGTTTGGAATGTGTTGCCATCATTTTAACTTTTTTTTTATCTTCAGGTATGCCTTGTATAATTGGCTGTCCAGTCTGTAAATTTAATTATATTTATATTCAATTCCTTCATCAAGACTGTTGTACGTAGCGTTTGTGCATTTTCTTTTAGGGGAACATATTCTTTTATTTTTTTTTGTCTTAGTTTTTGTGTATGATTATTGCAATGATCCCTTGATCCACTAGGGGAGGCAGAGTAGTAATAGTGTAAAAGTAATCTATTTCTTCATCATTTCCTTGCTGGAATAAATGCCTAAAAGTAAACTGTATTTTGGTTGTATGGTTCACACTGGAAAGACAATTTTCAAAATGTCAAGTAGGCAGGCAGGGGATTTAGCTCAGTGGCACCACACCTGCCTGACAAGCACTAGGTCCTGAGTTCTATCTCTGGTACCAAAAAAAAAGCTACCATTTCAGGAGGCTTCTTTTTATCTTTTTGAAGTCAGGGTCTGACTGTGTGGCCTAGGCTGGCCTTGAATTCACAGCGCTCCTCCTGCCTCAACCTCCCAAGTGCTGGGATTACAGTCATGTGCCACCACGCCTGGCCCAAGTAGGTTTTTGACTAACTTGGTTTTTTGTTTTATCATGCACCCATTAGCTTCAAAACTTTTCATGTATCTTAGAACATTGAAATTGTTATTCTTCTTGATACTTAAGTGGTTCCATTTTCGGCCAGGAGAATTCCTTTAAGTTGGATTCTGAGTCTTTTTGAAACACTTATTAAATTTCTGTACACAGAAATCTCATTTTTATTCTGCCCAGATGCTCCAATTCTAAAAATTTTGCCATATTTTCTTCATAAATCATGTGTCTATAAATTCATGCACATTTACACACATATTTTCTTTTCCTGATTGATTTGAGAGTGGCTATTACATGCTGTGCTTCTTCACCTGTTATGTTTCAAGTTGTACTTACTACCATCAAGGATATTCTCTTACATATCTATTGCATAGTTACTGAATTCAAGAAATTTTAAATTGATACAATACTTGAAACTGCAGTTCATTTTCCAGTTCCCAGTAATTTCTTTCTCTTAGTTCTTGCAAAAGATTTAGTCTAGGATTATAAATTTCATTTAGCTGTTACCTTTTTTTTAAGTCTACTTAATGTGAAATAATTTCTCATTGTCATTATACTATTTGAAGAATGGAGGGTTTTTTTCATTTTGCTTTTGGCTTGTTTGAGACGGGGTCTCACTCTGTAGTTCAGGCTGGCCTTGAATTCACTGCATAGCCCAGGCTACCCTCCAACTCGAGGTGATCCTCCTGCCTCAGCCTCCTGAGTACTGGGATTATAGGTGTGTGCCATCATGCCTGGCCTTTGGGGAGATTTTGACCATTATTTCCTCAACAACCACTACCTGCCAACTTCATTTGTTCCTGTTACCTGTATATTAGGGTGCTTGAAATTGCTCACTGATGCTGTTCACTTTCAGTGATCTTTTCTCTAAATTTCATTTAACATGGCCTCTTTGTAGCATCTTCTCATTCCAAGATCTTTTTTTCTCCTTTCTGTAGTGCCATCAGTTTTACCCAGTAAATTTTCATCTCAGATGTTAGACCTTTTTCCTTCTTGCCTGACTCTACTCCAGTATTTTGGACTTAGGGAATAGTTAGTTGCAGAGTTTCCATGTTCTCTGTTCAAACTGTGTCCATTCTTAACCAGTTTCTCTTGATTGGTTTTTTTCTTCCTTTTGAGCTATATTTTCTGTTCTGTTTTCCCCAAACTCTAAGCTCTTTCTCCTCACTTCTGTCCCTTGTTTATGGCCTGGAAATTCTTGGGCAGTAGCTGCGGGGCTAACCTAGTTTCCTATCTCTCTCAGGTTACTGTTTCTCCCTGCCTGATGGTGAGTGTTCTTAAAAATCAATGCTTTGTGTATTTTGTTTGGTGTGTGTGTGTTGTTGTTTGGCATGTGTGTTGTTGTTGGTGGTGGTGGTGGCGGTCATGACAAAGCAGAAGTTTCTAATGTTTCTTTACAGTGGTACCTCAGTTCATGAACTTGATTTGTTCCACGATTCTAGAAAAGATTCCCATGTTCTTGTTTGTGCAGGAAAGATGGCCACAGTCATGTCTGTCACTTTCATGTAGTTTGCAAACAAAAATAAAATTTTGCCAAACACTTTTGTTTGTGAACCACATTGTTTGCAAACAAAAGTGTTCATGAACCAAAGTACCACTGGATTCTATATCTGTAAGTCACGGTTGGAAAGCCTTTCCTCACAGCAAGGTTATGGTGACAGCCACCTATTTTTTTCTGTATGGTTGGGCCTTTCACATTTAGATCACTGATCCAGGTGGAGTGGATTCTTTTGTAGTATAAGGTATGGATGCAGTTTTATGCCTGTTCGGGTGTTTATCACTTCTTTTTGCAGCATTGGTATTAGGTTTGCCTTACAGGGACATACTAGAGGCAGTAAGTATAAAGTGGAAAGGTTTGTTTAGCTCCCAGTTTGGGAAGTTGAAGGGTACAGTGCTGACAACAGCTCTGTTCCTGACTGCATGTGTTCTTGGTGCATGTGTGTGAGATTTTATATCACCAAGCAGGAAGTCAGAGGGATTGGTGTTCTATACTCCTTTCTTTCGTTTTTTTTTTTGTTTTGTTTTGTTTTTTTGAGATAGGGTCTTCTGAGTATGTAGTTGAGGTTGGCCTTGAACTCACCCTAGGCTGGCCTCAAAGCCGTTGAGATACTTCTGCCTCAGCTTCTTCAGTGCTGGGGTTACAGGTTTTGCCACTACACCAGCTCCTACAGTCCCTTCTGAGGGCACACTCCCAATGATCTAAGGACCCGTCACTAGGTCCCCCCTCAGCTGTGCCACCATCTCTTAACAGTGCCATCCTAGGGACCAAGACTTTAATCCCAGTGGACTCTAGGGTGCCTCTTAGATCACACCCAAACCATAACACCATATACTAAAAGTTAGTTCTGCTTCAGTGATTTGAGATGTCCCTATCATCGTAGAACCCTAAAAGGCTGTTTGTAGATTCACCATCTTGTCTGTGTTCGGAGAGTGCTGAAATGAACATAGGGTGTGACACATGTAAGTGATTTAGGGTAACTGATATATTTGTGTTATTAAGTTGATTAACCCAAGAGCAAGGAATGTTACATTTCTTCAGGTTTATTTCCTTGACCTTGAGTATTTTAAACTTTACCTGGTAGAGATTTCATACGTCTTTTGCTAAGAGTTTTATCTCTCAGTTATTGTAAGCCACATGTACACTTGAATTCTATCTTACTCATATAATGAAAGCTATTGGTTTGTGTTAACCTTAAAATTCTTTTCTTGAGTTAGTTTCATCAGCAGTTATCTGAGTTTTAATATCATCAGCAAATAGAAATAGCTTTTCTTCATCCATCTTATTCCTCCAGTTTTAGTATTTCTCATCTCTGATTAGAGATTCTGTGCATTTTACCTTGTCCTGCTTTTAGTGAGAATGTGTATAGTGTTTCCCCTTTTCCTGACTTCAGAACTGAGAGAACGGAGGTGTGTGTGTGTGTGTGTAAACTCAACATGTACTATATGTGTGTGCTCACCTGTAATTGAGATATGTATGTGTATGCGTTGTGTGTAGAGATAGGTAAGTGGACATCACGCATATACTGGGCGTGTTAAGGTATAAGAAAGTGCATATGTGTTTAAGGTATATGTGTTGATGACACTGAAGTATCCGTCAGATTTTATTTTCTTGTGTTCCTTTCAAAATCGGGCTGGTGTGCCAGGCTGGGGATGTAGCTTAGTGCTAGAGTACCTGCCTAGTGTGCACAGGGTTCTAGGTTCAACCCCAAGCACCATAAAAAAGATGGGGGGAAAAAAGGAAAAGCCAGGTATGCGTTTTGAATATTGTCAGGCTTTTTAGGTGTCTTGGAAACAAATGTTTTCTTCTTACCTGTATTATTATAATGGCATATTGTACTTATGGCTTTTTAAATATTAAACTAATCTATGTTCTTAAGTCCCATTTGGCTACTGTACGTTCTGTGGTTAGTCTGGTATTGGGTTGTTTGTTAGTATTCTATTTGGGCAATTTTTTTTGACATAAGTAATGTTGGCATTTGATTTTACATGATTTATTGGTTAATGAGCCTTCCAAGCCCTATAGCACCCCTGCCCTACAACACCTCTGTCTTCTGGGCTTCCTTAGCTCAGGTTATTCCTTTCCATGGATGAGTTTCTCAGCTTGTGTCTGGCCTGTGGATGTTCATGCGTGTTCTGCACCTATACGTTTGTTGTCTCAGGGAGCCTGGTGTGCAGTTGGTTGTGTCAGTGACATCCACTGGCGTTGGTGCATCTTGTATGGATAATAGGATGCACAGTCATTGAGTATTTACCTTTTTCCCCTACAAGGAAAATTTGTGGCGCCACAGTCTGCTTCCTACAGCAGCACTGAAAGCCTGGTCTTGTTTCATAGTGGTCTGAGAATTGTACAGAAACCATTTTCTTAGGTAACAAATTTTCTTGCTTTTCTGAAAGTGGCTTCCTATTATCTTTATACATAAATACGAGCTTGTCTTGGTACACAGTTTAGGTTGTAAATCTCCTCTCTTCAAAGTTGTGGGCAGTTCTCCATTGTTTTCTATCATATGGGAAATTTATTATCAGTTGCCAGAATCAGTAGTGTTTTCTTTTTTCTCTATTTAACATTTTAGATTTTTTTCCATTTTGGATACTTAACTGGAAGTTTCTGGATCTCGGATTCACCAGTGTTCTTGTTTGCAAATGAGAGGACCATCTTGGAGGTAGAGGCTTCTGTGAATCTTTTGCCTGGGTGTCATTTGCAGGTCATCTTTTGATTATTTTTGTTCAGCCTGTGTGGTTTCTATTTCTTCTCTTTTTTTCCTTTCCTATTCTTTCTTTCTTTATTCATTCATTTATTTATTTATTTTTACACCAGGGATCAAACTCAGGTCCTTGCGCTTATGAGGCAGGTGTAGCACCACTGAGCTAAACCTCCGGCCCTATGTTCTCTATTTTTTTGTTGTTGTTTTTGTTCTCTCTTTTTGAAAGTGTTGAATTTATTGAGTCTGACTTTATATTCCTAATCTGTTTTCATCATTTCTATCTCTTATTTTCTGGGAGACTTCATTAGATAGCATTCTGTGTCCCATTTATTAACCAAGCCTGTTGAGGATTTTTAAAACAATTCTACAGTCCAATCCAATCTCTTCATTATTTTCTGATGACTGTTTCTCAGCACAGTGTTCTTCCTTTCTGAAGCAATATCTTGCTGACTTTTTTGTTTGTTTTGTATTAGTACACATTTATAGTACATAATATTTGCATTCCTTATGGGAAGCTGTTCATGTACGCAATACATCTTACTGCCTTCTTTCATCCCCTTTTCTTTCCTCCCCTCCCTTTCCATCTATTTCTCAGTCCCTTTTCTTTTTTTCTGTACATTTAGGATACATAATGTTTACATTTCTCATGTGGAGCTGGAACATGTACATAACACATCTTAACTCTTTTTATGTATCCTTTCCCTCTCTCCATCTCTTGGTCTTTTTTCTTGGTCTCCGCATTTCCTATATTTTATTTTGCTCTTAAGTTATACTTTAGGTTTCTCATATAAAAGAAGCTATACAGTTCTTAAGCCTGTGTGTCTGATTTATTTCAATTAACTTTACTGTTTCACAGTACATCCAGTATCCTACAAATGATTCAAGTCTATCTTTATGGCATGTATAAATACTGTGTATAAATACCATATTTTCTTTTTCATTCACCTGTTGATGGACAAACAGATCACTTCCAAGATTTAACTATTATGAGTTGTGCTGCTGTAAACGTGGATATGCATGTGTCTTATAATATGATGCCTTTAACTCCTTAATGGAGAAACCAAGAAGGGGAATAGCTCATTGAATGGAATTTCTAGTTCTGGGTGTTTTGAGGAATCTCCATACTGACTTCCTTAGTGATTGTACTTGTTTACATTCCTACTAGCAAAATAGAAGGGGTCCTTTTTCCACAGCCCCTCCAACATTTGCTATTATTTGATTTCTTGGTAATGGCTAATCTTTCTGGAGTCAGGTGGAATATTTATTTTAGTTTGCATTTTTTAATGGCCAGTGGTGGTGGTAGCAGTGGGTTTGGTGTTTCAAGGCAGGGTCTCACTATATAGTTTAAGTAGGCCTTGAACTCACCCTATAACCTAATAGCCTCAAACTCTTGGGGATCCTCTTGCCTCAGTTTTGTGAGTGCTGGGATTAAAAGTGTGTGTCATCAGGCCCAAGTGATAACTCCTGAATTCATGTAAAAATGTGAGTCAGTTCCTCCTGAAAATCCAGCTCCTTGGTAGGCAGAGGCAGGAGGATTGCAAATTTGAGGCCTACCTGGCAACTTAAGTTGACCCTGTCTACCCCAACCCCTTCCCTCACCACCTCCCAAAAGAAAAGAAAGTGAATCTGACAAAATATAAGTTCTGTTTCCTTTTTATGAATTTGATTCCATCGGTGTTTAGTTGCTTATCTTGATGCATATCTTTATGCTATTTTCTTAATTACATGATAAATCCTGATTTTATGATAAAATTTGTGAGAAAATAATTATTAAAAGCTTATGTGAATATACTGAAATATTTACCCTATTTGAGGCCTCTTTCCTTGGCATTGGCAGCAAAGTCCACAAGTAAATAAGGAAAGATATTTACTTAGATGGGTATGGATTCATTTGGGAAAAGTGCTGAATTGATGGACAAGCATCATTTGGTCAAGTTGCTTTACATTGTGAATCATTTGTTTAGTTTGCCTTTAATGGAAAAACTTCATGTCCACTCTGGATAGGGTTGCATACATGTCCTGTTTTGCCTAAGATGGTCTTGGGTTGAACCTGTTCCATGGTATCCCACTTGATTTATGGTGTATCCCAGACAGAATGTTTCTCCTTGGACAGTGAACATATAATTGCCCTAACAACAGTGGTCTGCTGTCATGGGCACCCTGCTGTGTCTCTGGTGAAACCAGGGCACCACCCAAGCTGTGGATGCTCTTGCAGTTTGTTTCTATGTCAGCCAGTCACTCTACCACCCACAGGAGCCCTAGGCTCTGCAGTGGGCTTGGACATCTTCAAGGGCTCTGTTGGAGAGTCTGCATTCATTTTGGTTGCATCCTCTCAGCCCTGTGTAGTTTGTGACCTGTGGCTCTGGTTAGCTTACTTCAAGGATGTCCTTAGAAGTTTTTCCTCATATCTCTGTGTTCTGGTGCTCTTAGGAGAAGGAAATCCATTTGTTGTTGTTGTTGTTTCTTTTTGAAGTGAAAATGTAATTGTATATGTTTGATTTACTTTGACTTAGAATTGACCCTAATAGTCGAAAGCTGTCCTTGGAAAAGCACCTTCTTGGTTTCTTTTGGCCTCTTTATCATATCAACCTTTTAAAAATTGATGCTTCTTCAGTTTTTGCCATTGATACTTTCTATATCTCATTGTCATCTTCCCCATTAATCCTGTAGAATACACTGTTCTCCTTTTGGGACTTCAAATTAGCCAAATCTTTAAAGCCTAGTCTGAGAGCGTACAGTTAAAATAGTTTGAGTTCCTTCAGTCAAACCACTCTTCACCGTGTATGCATTGCTCTGTGACTACACTTATGAGTATTCATTCAATAAAAAACATACTTTGCTAGGTGGGTCTGGGGCCACACACCTGTAATTCCAGCACTCTGTGAGCCAGACACAGGAGGATCATAAGTTTGAGGCCAGCCTAACCAACCTTAGCAGTACTGTTTCAAAATTAAGAATTTTTAAAAAAGGGCTGGGTGTGTAGCTCAGTGTGAAAGCCAGTGACCCAGTAAGGAAAAAAAAAAAGTATGTTGCTGCAAGAATGAAGTGTAACTTGGAGGAAAGAAAACACCTACCTATATGATTAACCAGAGGTGGTTGACATGGGAAGGAAAGAGGCACAGGATCAAAGTGCTCAAGCAAGATGAGAGCTGCAGAGAGGTAATGGGAAGGAAAGGGAAAGGGAAAGGACCCAAATTGTGGGTACTCCACCAGGAAGGAGTGGAGGAGCAGGGGAGGGCCCAACCAGCAAAAGAGACCACAGAAAGAGACAAGAAGGGAAGCATGTATGTTTGCTTATATATGGGTCACCTCATCACACTGTCAGTCTTTTGAGAGCAGGAATAGGATTTTTACCTACCTTATGTCCCCCTGAATTCATGAGCTCCCCAGAAAATTTGGAGCTCTGTTGTTTTTTGGTTATTTTTGTTTATCTATTAAAGAATTCAAAGGCAATGTGTTGCCCATATTGTTTGCTTTCCTTCCACAGTCTAATCTAAAATAAGGTGTACAGTGTTTATGGTTAACTTTATCAGTGATCTTGAGAAGATCTTGTCCTTCTATACATTTTTCATGTCACTCAGTTCCAATTGTGCCATTGCAGGAGCTGGTGTCATTCAAGGATGTGGCTGTGGACTTCACTCAAGAGGAGTGGCAGCAGCTGGACCCAGATGAGAAGGTGACATACAGGGATGTGATGTTGGAGAACTATAACAACCTCATTTCTGTGGGTAAGGTCAGCTTTCTTTCTTTCCCTTTTTTTTTGTTGTTGTTGTTGAGTCAGGGACTCACTGTGTAGGCCAGGCTGGCCCCAAGCTTACAATGATCCTCCTGCATCAGCCTCCTGAGTGCTGGGATTACAGTCATAAATCATCACATCCAGAGATAGCCTAATTTCTGAACACTTTGAGTTTATGATTTTGCTCTTGATTTGTAGAAACAAGTGATAAGACCTTTTTGTTGCTTTTGGGCATATGTCAAATTTTTGTGTCTTCTCCATTGAAAGGTTCTACTTTTGATAATGTAAAAGCTAGTGTACTTTATTATGTAGCCTCTGAGGCAGCCAGCCAGTCCCAAGTCCTTCTCCATTTTTTGTTAACAGGGTATGATGTTACCAAACCCAATGTGATCATTAAATTAGAACAAGGTGAGGAGCCATGGACAATAGATGGTGACTTCTCTCAGACTTGTCCAGGTGAGTGAATATCAAATTTTAAAAAATGATCTTCCCAGTTGATTCTGCAGGGACAACTTTAGGAATTTGACATTTAAAGGTTTTTCACCAAATGAAACCTGGGGAGAATGGACGCTCTTATTTGTGTTCAGAATTAAGAAGAAATATGACAGGGACATGACGAGTTTTAGAAAATCTAATCAGCAAACTGAAAGAAAATGAATGGTTAAACTATTTGTGTCAAACTTCTGAGCTCTATAGTGGAACCATCTGTCTAACATGAGGAAATTTGAGCTTTTTAGAATGCTTATTTGGATTTATGTGTAGAGTAGAAAGGCAGTGATTTTGGAATGGCCTAGTTTGGCAGTCTTGTTGGTATGAACTGGTATGTTGGCAATTTCATATGAATCACAGTCTACTTATACCAAGTGTAATCCATACTTAAATATCCCTTTTGCTTCTATGCCCAATAATTATTCTTGTTTTCTCATGAAACCCTTTTGTTCTGAGTCTTCTTGTTTCTTCCTGGATCTAGCACTTATTCAGTGAGTTTATTTCACCTTCTCTACCAAAGTTTTTAATATAATATTTGTAATATAAGAAAGGTAATTGTATTCAATGTGAATTCACTTTTTGTTTTTCCACTCCTACTAAGTTCCATCCTCGTACTTCCCCACCAACCTCTACCCCTGTATGTATGTGTTTTGTATTATAAATTAAAGGAAAAAGAACAATACACTCATAATTTATTTTTTATTTGTATATATTGGCCCCAAAGCCAGAGTTGGCCTCACAAATAAGATATTTAAGTACCACTCTTTCTGTAGCTTATATGTCCAGATTCACTAGGTTTGTTCTCCTTTTTCTTTTCAGAAGTATGGAAAATTGATGACCTGATGGAGAGAATCCAAGAAAATGAAGATGAACGTTCAAGGCAAGCTGTTGATATTCATAGCCAAACCTTGACAGAGGAGAGAAAGGATGCACTTGATAAAATTTATAATGTGGAAACAAACCTTGATCCTTCAAGCATAATAGTTCACAGATGTGTTTCCTGTGGGAAGAGGTTAGAAACTGTTTCAGAATTAATCGGTAGTGATGGAAGCTATGCAAGGAGGAAACCTGATGTATGTAATGAATGTGGGAAAATTTATCACGGAGAGAATCTTTGTAAGTTTAATCAAAACGAGGACACCTACTCTCAAAGTGAAGAAAATATTCTGCAGAGAATTAATTTGGAGAAGCCCTTTGACTACGAGTGCATGGAAGCCTTAGATAGTGAAGCTGTTTTCATTGCTCATCATGAAGGAGCATATATGGGGGAGAAACCATATGAGTGGAATGATTCTGAGCCAGACTTCATCCAGATGTCAAATTTTAATGCCTATGAGAGATCACAGATAGAATTGAAGCCCTTTGAATGTACAGAATGTGGAAAGTCGTTTTGCAAAAAGTCTAAATTCATCATTCATCAGAGGGCCCACACAGGAGAGAAACCCTATGAGTGTAATGTGTGCGGTAAGTCCTTTAGTCAGAAGGGAACACTCACTGTACATCGAAGATCACACTTGGAGGAGAAGCCCTATAAATGTTCTGAGTGTGGAAAAACTTTCTGTCAGAAGTTACACCTTACACAGCATGTGAGAACTCACTCGGGAGAGAAGCCCTATGAATGTAGTGAGTGTGGGAAAACCTTCTGCCAGAAGACACATCTCACCCTACACCAGAGAAACCACTCAGGAGAGAGACCGTATCCATGTAGTGAGTGTGGGAAATCCTTCTCCCGCAAGTCAGCCCTCAGTGACCATCAGAGAACCCACACAGGAGAGAAGCTTTATAAGTGTAATGAGTGTGGGAAGTCCTACTACCGAAAGTCTACCCTTATTACTCACCAGAGAACACACACGGGCGAGAAGCCCTATCAGTGTAGTGAATGTGGCAAATTCTTTTCAAGGGTGTCATACCTCACTATACATTATAGGAGTCACTTAGAAGAGAAGCCTTATGAATGTACTGAGTGTGGCAAAACCTTCAATTTAAATTCAGCCTTCATCAGGCATCGAAAGGTACATGCAGAAGAGAAACTCCATGAGTGTAGTGAATGTGGGAAGTTTCCTCAGTCACCATGTCTTGCTGACCATGATACAGTCCATGTAGGAGAGAAGCCCTATGAATGTAATGAGTGTGGGAAAATTGTCCTTGAAAATTCAGCCTTCAATGGACACCAGCCCCTTCCAGAAGAGGAGAAAACCTATGAATGTAATATATGTGGAAAATCCTTCTCTGAGTTGACAACCTACACTGTACATTACAGAGGACATGCTGAAGAGAAGCCTTTTGGATGTAATGAGTGTGGGAAAACCTTCTCCCATAATTCATCCCTCTTTAGACATCAGAGAGTACACACTGGTGAGAAGCCTTATGAATGTTATGAATGTGGAAAATTCTTCTCCCAGAAGTCCTATCTCACAATTCATCATCGGATCCATTCAGGAGAGAAACCCTATGAGTGTAGCAAGTGTGGGAAAGTCTTCTCTCGGATGTCAAACCTCACTGTACACTATAGAAGCCATTCAGGAGAAAAACCCTATGAATGTAATGAATGTGGAAAAGTCTTTTCTCAGAAGTCATACCTCACTGTACATTACAGAACTCATTCAGGAGAGAAACCCTATGAATGTAATGATTGTGGGAAAAAGTTCCACCATAGATCAGCCTTCAATAGCCATCAGAGAATTCATAAAAGAGGGAATATGAATGTGCTCAATGTGGAAAATTCCTGAAATCAAATCTCAATTTTTAGAAAAACTTCTGACTGTACAAATATGGGAAATTCAGTAGTGAGCCTAATATTCATTTGACTATTCATCTTCCTGAATGGGGAAAAATTTTGAATTTTTAGATCCATTATAATTGGATTTTTCTAAGAATCCCTAACAGTGCACCAAGTAGCAAAGCCTTCAAGAAGACGATATAACTCATGAGACACCAGCTATTTTATGCAGGTGTGAAATTTTATAAATATTATTTATTTTAGGTTCAAACTGTATTTACCTATCAGGGAATAGTACTATAGAGAAATCTGTCAATATGATGAATGTGGAGAACATACTGTCTTGAAAATTGTTATGCTAAAAGCCATATTTCTGATGTAAAAACATATTTATAGGAAAGATCAAACTATCAGCTCTGAATAAATTTTCATTTATAAAATGAAGTTTTAAAATCAGGAGTTGGTGTGAGGACTATAGCATTAAACATATTTCCTGTTTTGTTTTTCAAAGCAATCTAATGGTAATTCTATGCAAGTTAGGATTTGAATAATTTTGAAAAGACGGTAGTCTTACTCGAGTATTGGATGGCAAAATGTACTAACAGGGATATGTTGTTGGTGGGATATTTGATAATTATGTAATAGTAAAGTATGTAGCTTTCAGTTCTTTAGAGGAATTTACAAGTTCATTTTTAGTGAGTGCCTCATCCGTAGAGGGGTGCTTTTCAACTTGAGCTAAAAACGGATTTTTTAAAATACTATTTTGATAAAGTGTGAATACATAATTTGGGATTAAGCCTATTTCAGTGAAACAACAAGTGCTATATGTGCTACCCTACTCTAACATACCCCTAGTTCTTCACCTGTCTTGTTTTCTGGTCTATAGATTTGAGTACATGGAATGCCAGTATTATGTAATTGAGACATTTTATCTGAATTTTTATGTGATATAAATATGGCTGTCATTTTGTTTATTGTCCCATATTCTCTATACTTTTGAACAAATCAATATGTTTCTAGCAGACATTTGCTGGTTGATTAACTTAATGTCCTCCCTCATTTCTTGCTGGAAGAGTTTGGCTACCTGCTTTTTTCACTTGATCCTGTAAATCCTGATGAGTTTACACCAATAATGATCCAATCTGTTGCCAGCACAGTAGCCCCCTCTTCTCCACAAGGGGTGTGTTCCTTAGATACTTGATGGGCAGGTAGCAGATACAGCAGGGATACACAGGACAAAAGGATGATTCATGTCCCAGGCAAGATGTGCAAGATTTCATCGCTCTTAATTACAGTTGTGCACATGTTAAAACTTATGAATCATTTATTCTGAGACTTCCCATTTAATGCTTTTGGACTGGCTAACCCCAGATAAATGAAAGTATGCAAAGTGAAACCTTGGGTAAGGAGGGGCTATTGTAACTTGTTTATAATGGCCATATTACCCACTCCTGTATAAACCAAACTAACTAATTTGTTCTGGGAAGTGGGTGAACTGGTGATCAAATGGGTCTTACTCCACAAATGCAAGGGTGGTTAAATATTTAGAAGTCAACCACTGTTAATCACATAAAGGTGATTTGGTATGCAGAAAACTCACAGAATTAATGTCCATTTATAATCTTAGCAAGCATGGATAGAATGGAACTTCCTTAATTGGACAAAGAGTAACTTAAACTATAACAAACAATATGTGTAATAGTGAAATAATGAAAGTTTTCTCCCATGATGAAAAGTCAAGGATATCTTCTAGCACAGATTTTATGCAACACTATACAGAAGGACTTAGCCAGGGGGATGGATGGATATATATATGGATTGGAAAAGAAGTAAAATTTTATTTGCAGAGACATGAACTAGGAAGTAGAATATTCTCAGGAATATTCAGATAATAAAAATGAGTAAATTGAGCAAGGTCTCTGCATACAGGATAATTTTGCAAAACTTGTTTTTCATTATACCAGCAAAAAATAACATTTTTTAAAGGAATACCACTTCTTTAAAAATCTGAATTTTTTTCAAGTGCCTAGGGAACAGTTTAACATGTTCAAGAGATTTATCCAGAAAAAATAAGAATTGCAACATGGAGGGATGTTTCTTGTTTATGGATTTCAGGAGAAACTCAATGTCAGTTTCCGTAAGTTAACTCATATATTGAGTACAGTCTTGTTTTTGTGGTACTGGGAATTGAACACAGGACCTTGAGCATACTAGACAAACACTCTGGTGCTGATCTTTACCCCTACCCTTTACTTTATTGTAATGTTTGAGACAGCCTCACTGAGTTGCTTAGGCTGGCTCCAAATTTAAGACCCTCCTCCCTCAATCTCCTGAGTAGATTGTATTACAGCCACACACCACCACACCCTACTCAGTACAACCATAATTTTAAAAAGTAGGGAATTCTTTAGTGGAAATTTACAAGTTAAATCTAAAGTAGATATGAATAGTCAAAAGGCCAGCAATACAGTCAATGCTGTCTTGTAAAAGCTGTATAATGCTACTTGCAGATATCATGATCTCTTATAAATCCATAGAAATTATGGTGTGAGATTGGCAGAAAGATAAAAGGAGTGAAACAGACACACACATAGTCACTAACCTAACAAAAGATGAGAATGAAGTCTGTTAGAATTTTAGAAACTTTGTAGCAGAACAAGTGAAGTTTTCTTAAGATCTGGAAATCCAAACTGCAAGTTAAAATTTAGGTCATTTGGATGCACAAACTTGAAGAACTGCATTTATCAGAAAGACATTAAGAAAGAGAGTGGAGCCGGGCGTGGTGGCGCATGCCTGTAATCCCAGCACTCGGGAGGGAGGCTGAGGCAGGAGGATCACTGTGAGTTCCAGACCAGCCTGGGCTGCATAGTGAGTTCCAGGTCAGTCTCAACTACATAGTGAGACCCTGTCTCAAAAAAAAAAAAAGAGTGGAGACAGAAACCATCGGTAAGCTCAATAAAAAGCCAGCTGGTAAAAATTCAGGGCTTTGTCCCATTGTAGCTTCCTGACTTTGCTCTTATATGAAAACAGCCAAATATGGCACAGAAATGAATCACAGCTGTTTTTTGTTTTGTTTTGTTTTGTTGTTTGTTTTTTTTTTTTGTTCCGGGGACCGGACTCAGGACCTTGCCCTAGCAAGGCAAGCAGTGGAACCACTGAGCTAAAACCCCGGCCCTCTCACAGCTTTTGGTTTGCTGTACTGGGAATTAAACCCAGGGCCTTTACACTGATCCATATCCTCAGCCTTGTTATTATTACCTTTTCTTGAGATGCATTAAGTTGCCCAAGCTGGGCTCGAACTTGAAATCCTCTTGCCTCAGCATCCCATAGTGTTGGGATTACAGTTGTGCACCACCATGTCTGACCATGCATATAAGTGAATGTGGCTGTTTCCCAGTAAGCTTTATTCACAGACCTGGGACACTCGGGATGTAGTGGAAATTTAGAGCCTATAGTTTTCTGGTGCTTGATCTAGAATATATAAAGAACACCTACACATCAGAAGCATGGGGCAAAAGACTTGGCTACCCTCTTTGCAAAAGATGATAAACCAAAATGGCCAAAAACCACAAAAAGATGTGTTCTATTTATTAGTAATCAGGGAAATGCAAATTCAAAACTACTGCTACCCACCCACTGAAATGGTTAAAATGGAGGTGTGAAAAGCAAGTTTGGACAAGGACACAAGCCACAGGAACTCTTAAGTGGAATGGCCAGTTAGCATGGTCTTTTTGTAAAATTGGCAGGTATATGCTATTCAATCAAAACAGGCAGAAAAGAACTATCTTGAGGCATGTGTATGTAATAGAATGAGTAAATGCATGTGGTATTTCCCCAGTAGAATACTGTAGAGCAACAAGATTGATGAACTGTAAGCCCATGCAGGAGCAGCTGAATTTCACCATGCTGATGAAGGAGACAGACAAAACCAAGTGTACCGTGTGATTCTGTGTAGAGCATAAGGACGGGCAAAACTTGTCTATGCAATTAGAAATTGATACAGCATTTATCCTTGGCCAGTGCTTACAAGGAATATTTATCTGGTGCTGGTAATAATCTGTTTTGAAATTGGGTGCTGAATAAGTTTTGAGCTGTATTCTTAAAATGTATTTTTTTCTGCATGTATATTACCCTTTGATAAAAGTTTTAAAAAATCAAAATCAAACTTTCTCAGCACTCATATTTTTCTGGGTACAGTATATGTGAATATGTGATGTAACAGCAATTAAATGGTAGATTTTTCATAACTGCAATGATACTCATAGTAGTTTAATAGCAACTACTTTGATTTCCTACACTGTGTCCTTAAAGCTATTACATATATTTTAAGTAAAATATTTGAGAAGGTTAAGACTTATTACATATTTTGTCATCGTACACTCTTGCATATATAAATGGGTCTGGCACATAGCAGTGGTTTTGAGCTTCCTCGTTAATAAAAAAGCTAATGTGTAAACTCTTCACATTTTGTCATATTGTTTTCATGTTTCTGAATTTGAAGTACATTTTAACCATTACTGTAGAGATAATAGTGGGTAAATACAGAGCTGAATTTGATTTGAGGAAAAATTACATTTAAAAGGTGTTTTAGATAATTATTTCAGCAAATGTAATATATAGAATTTTTTGTTTTATTTTGGTCATGGTTTTGTTTCTTTTGGTGGTATTGGGGATTGAACCCAGAGCCTTTTCTCTGAGCTACATCCCCTTTCTACTTTTTGTTTCAAGACAGGGTCTGACTAAGTCTCAAAATTGCCCAACCTGGCCTTGAACTCGGCAATCCTGTCAGCCTCTTATGGTGGTGACTGCAGGTGTGTGCCACCGTACCCAGCCTGTAATGGTTGTAACAGCACAAATACGACGGAAAGAAATCTGCAACTAGACTTTGCACCCATAAAACAATAACAGCACTTGGTAGGAGGTGCAGAGGGAGGCTGGCTAAGCTTATGAGGGCACAGCGAGGTCAACATTCCTGGTGGAGTGGACTATACTTGCCTTATATTTCACTTAGTGTGTACTAAGCTGGAAATGTGAACAGATCTGTGATGCCTTATTTGTGCTGTGACTTGGAAGTGTGACTCTCCCACACCAACGTAGGATGTTCTCTGCCCATTGTCACCTGGCACCATGTGCTCCAGGCACATCACCAAAGCCTCCTCACTGCGTTGAGAGGTCACCCCCACCCAGCCCATGTTTGTTACTCTAGGGTTCAATTAACTTCACCTCCAAAGTATGCAGAAAACATTAATGCAAGGTGACAAAATTCACCCACTGTCCTTGTTCCATCCCAAATTACAGGGACCCTGGGGAAAACAGCTCCTCAAAGAGAAGCCTATGAGAGCAAAGCAGTGTTGCAATATTCCCAAGGTAGATTTTGTCAAAGCCACAAAGAAAAATGTACCATATTTTCTCTCTGCCACAAAGCTTCTTCACATTGTGGAAGTTAAACCCTTGTGGTTCCTGTCAATTTGGAGGACTCTCTTTGAATAGTAGGATTGTGGGTAAAAGGTGTGGAGTGAAAATGTCAGAAATCCTCAGGGAAGGAGACAGTGGGTCTCCGTGGAGGAAGATGTAGCATAAACATAGCTGAGCCAACTTCCAAAATGTATTCTTTTTTGCACGTTGCATCGCAGTCACATCCTTCCCTGACCTGGTGACAGTGGAACAGGAACCCAGGGAGCTCAGCCTGTCCAGGACTTCAGAGCGCAACCGGCGTGAGGAGTGGTAACAAGTGTGGGCAGGGCAGTGGCCTGCGCGGTTCCTCCAGAAGCCAAGAGCTAAGCTTTCAACGGACAGAAGGAAGAGGGTGGAGAAGCCCTGGGGACGCTTTGGAGTGGGCCAGCAGGTCTGCAGTGATCACAAAGCTCAGCCCAGCCTTGGCAATTTAAACGGCTGGGATGTAGCTCAGTGTAACCTTGGTTCAATCTCAAGTACCACCAATTTAAAAATGAATAAATAGCCTGCCAAGCCAAGTGACGAGGGAGTATGCGTTAGGAACAATGGTAGGTAGGTAAGGCGCTGCGTCTCGGACTCCGCTTTTGGGAAGTGAGAGCCATGCAAACCCGAGGCTTCAGCTCCGACAGGGATCGTGAGAGTTCCTCTGGCTCGATTTGGGACGCCGGTGGGGCCTTTGGGAGGAGAGAGCAGGCTGAAGAGAAGTGGTTCTTCGGACAGAAGACTAAAGAACAACTGGATGCCTTGAAGAAACATCGCGAAAATGAGATCTACCATCATAAAAAGTCTATTGAGCGAATGGAGAAAGAAACAACGGCAAAAGCAGAAAACCAAACAACTAAAACATGATTAAATGCACATGTTCACCATAGAATGCCATCTATCATTTCCCACTTCTACATAGGCATGATCTGATATAATTAATATTTGGTCTGTGTCTACCAACAGATAATAGTCATCAGTGAAAATAGAAAAAACAGCCCAAAGTCTAGCTCCTAAAAACATAAAATTCACAATGTCTGGCTTCCAATAAAAGGCATTTCTGCCAGGCATATAAAAGATGCAGAAAAAAGCCAGGAGGGTGGCACACAGCCATAATCCCAGCGACTCTGAGGATTGCTGATTGCCAGGCCAGCCTGGACTACATAGTGAGACCTTGTCTCAAAAAAAAAAACCAAACCAACCTACAAGGAGGAGAAAATAGAGATCCAGCAATAATATCCATCATCCATGATAGAATCAGAAAATAAGGACATTAAACTAATACACTCCTAATATACAAGAGGACTGAAGAATGGACAGCAAGATGGACCCCAAAGGATTACCGTGGAGGAGCTGGAAAGCACCTGGCTGGCCTGGTCAGCTGGGCCACAACAGACCAGAGAGGAGGGTGGGGCAGGTCCGCGGGAGGGAGCCAACCAAGAGAGAGCAGGCCTACTGGGGGCGTGGTCTCCATGATGGGGCGTAACCGGCGGGTGCGGGCGGACACGCCTCTGGAGCACTGTTTAAAAGGGGTGTGGCTACGGCCAGGGGACGTGGCCTTATGTAGGCGATGTGGGGACACAACTCAGGCTTGAGGGGCCTGGCTGGGTCATTGGGCAAGGATAGGATTTGAGGCGCGTGACTTGGGACCTGAGGAGGAAGGCGAGACTAGGGGTTAGGGGTGTGGCTGGGCAGAGGGTGTGGCTTTCTTGGGTGTGGCCAGGACGCGGGCATTGTTCGTGTCGGGGTGGGCGTGGCCAGTCCTGGGGCGTGACAGGGAGGGAGGGCGTGGCGTGTCTCGCGGAGACTTCTTGGCCCTGGACCGCTACAAAACAGAACCGTCTGCGTCTAACAGTCCTTGGGGAGCCGGAGACTGTTGCCTGGACCGTGGGCTGACACAGGACATTTCGGAAGTGAGCCTCCAGGCCTCTAAGGACAAGGGCGGGTGGGCCTGGTGGGCTCTCAGAAAGGGGAGGGCGGAGTGGGTGGGGCGGGGCCTCTGACCACTGCCCGCCCTCCAGGTCCTCTCTCTGGCCATGTGGCGGCCTCTTGTCCTACTCGCGCTCCTGCAGCTCCGGGCCGCCCAGGGCCCCCCCATCCCGGGCCGCCAGGACAGCCTCCCCAGCTCGTCGCAAACTTTCAGCCGCCCCGCATGGGCGGAGCAGACAGGAGAAAAGGAAGTCCTGAACCTGCCGAGAGTGAGCAGGATGCGGGGATGGACTGGGAGGGAGCGGAAAGATACCAAGGACGGAACGCAGACTGGTGGTGGCTGGGTGTGGTGGTGTAAATCTGTAATCCCAGCGCACTGGGAAGCTGAGGCAGGAGGATCGCTAGTTCCAGCTCGGCCTGGGCAATTTAGCAATTTAGCGAGACTCTGTCTCAGAATAAAAAACTTTAAAAACGGGGATGGATGGGAGGTGGGGACATAGCTCTTTGCCACAGCCCTAGGTTCAATTCCCAGTCCTGAAAAAAGGGTGTGGGCCGACAGGTTGATTCCTGAGGGTCAGAGGGTGGAGAGGAAAGGGTTGGGGAGGACGTGGGGTGGGCTGGAGGGGCGTGCTGCCTTCGAGGTGGGCCGCTCATCGGCCCCCTCGGAACTCCGGGGGGAACTGCCATCAGATCAGCTTTCTCTCTGCCCGGTGGGCTTCTATGCCTCCACAAAGCACTGCCGCAGCGCAGAGAACCGGGGTCCCTGACTGGGGAGCTGTTGCCAGCACGAAAAAGGACAGTTTGTTCCTTTTCACCAGGAGCCCAAGCTGGAGGAGACACAGGCATGTAGGCGGCCGCTGTCCCAATCCTGGGCTCCCTCTGGCCTCCAGGCTCCAGAGGAGCAGCCCGGAAGCCCCAGAGGAGGACGACCGTGAAGGACATCGAGGGTCACAGGCCGACCTGGGCAGGATCTTCAGAGGGGCTCAGCAGGCTCCGGCAGCTGCCATAGGTGCTGGGGCTGGGCATACAGGTGTAACCCTCCTGACCCTGCTTCCAGTGCCATCCGGAAATAAAGTTCTTTTTGCAGCTTAGCAGTGCTGTTCCTTTGGGATCAGCACCCAGAGCCATTCTGGTTCCTGTCAGCCGTGCCTGATCCCCCAGCCCCAGACTGATGTCTCGAGCACTTGGTCCCTGACTGTCATCTCTGGATGCTGCAGTCCGGAGCTGGCACTGCTTTCCTGGGAAGAGGGGCCTGGACCTCAGAAGAGTGTGCTGAGCGGTGCAGAGCAGAAGTTGCTAATCCTGCCTGCTGCATCCTGAAACCTCTCCAGCCCGAGCTTCCAGAGTCTGTCCTCTTTCACAGCACATGAGTAACAGCCCTTGCTCCTTTCAGTGTCAGCAATTTAAAAGTTTCTAAGCCTGGTTGTTTCTTCAAAAGTTAAACATGTTGGGCAGGCAGTGTGGGGCTCACCTGTAATCCCAGCACTCTGGGAGGTTGAGGTGGGAAAATCGAAAATTCAAGTCCAGCCTGGGCAACTTAGCAACTTAGTAAGTGAGACCCTGTCTCAAAATTTAAAAAACTGAAAAAAAAATTTTTAATGAAAGAGGGCAATGTGAATCCCCAATACTGAACAAACAAACAAAAAATATATAAACACACCTCTATGGGCTAGCTATTCCACACCTCAGTTCTACCCAACAGAAATGAAAGCATGTGTCCCCACAAAGGCTTGTACATATGCGCCTATAACAGTCCAATCAACCCAAATATCCACAGGTGAATGGACAAATTGTGATATAGACTTACAATGGAACGTTAATCAATCCGGATGAATCATTGATCAATACACAAAGCAGTAGGATGCATCTCAAAAGCTTTATCCTGAGCAAAAACGCTCAAAAGAAGACTACATACGACTCCATCTTTAATGAGATCCTAGAAAAATAAAAAATGTCTACAGCATAGAAGGTGAGAGGTTGCATAGGCAAAGGAGTGAGGCTAGGAAAGCAGAGGGGTGCGAGGAAGCCTGGGGAGGGTTCATTTTCTGGTTGTCTCTAATCCATGGGTGTACACTGCATGATAATAAATATGAATGTTTACTTTCTTTTTAAATTTCATTACAGTAAAAGACACATTGCCGTGACTCCTCCTCAAAATCCTCCCGCTCATTTGGACACACTCTATCCTTCTTGCCACTTTCTGAAGCAGGTCTGGAAGTCCTCTTTCATGAGCATCTTTAGCTGCAGTGTTGTGGCAGCCTCCAGGTCCTGAACTGATTCAAAACATTTCCCTTTCATGGTCATTTTGACTTTGGGGAAGAGCTAGAAGCCACACGGTGGTAGATCCGTGATAAGGTGGGTGAGACACACCGCCATGGTTCTAAGGACACAAAGGAGGACTTCCAGCGTGCTTAAGAAAGTGGCAAGGACCGTGGGATGAGCTTGGAGGGACGGGGAGGAGAGTATTTTGAAGGAGACTGAGGGCAATGCGTCTGACTGCAATACATTTTTAAAAATTTGAACACATTGTGTTCTTTTCTTTTGATATCTTATTAGTACCTATTTACAGAACACACTGGTTATATTCCTTGTTGGGAGTTGATACATGAACATAACACACCTTAATGCTTTTCCATCCCCTTCTTCCAGCTCTTCCCCTGTTTCTCTTCCCTCCTTCCATCCCTTGGTCCCCTTCCCTTTGCAAAAGATCTCCCTGTTTCCCATTATCTGTCTTTTATTTTGCTCTATATTTTGTTTCTCATGTAAGAGACACTGTGATATTTAAGCTTATGTGTTTGATTTATTTCACTTATTATGGTCTTGAAATGTACCCATTTGCCTACAAATGACTCAAGTTTTTCCCTCTTTATAACAGAGTAGTACTCCATTGTGTATAAATACATTTTCTTTATCCGTTCATCTGCTGAGAGACATACGCACTACTTCCAAGGTTTAGCTATTAGGAATTGTGCTGCTATAAACATGGGTGTGCATGTAGCACTGTAATATGATGTCTTCAACACTTTAGGGAAGATATCTAGAAGGGACTAGGTGGGTTGAATGGAATTTGTAGGTACAGGGTTTTGTTTTTGTTTTTTAAGGAATCTCCATACTGATTTCCATAGTGGTTGTACCGGTTCACATTCCTACCAGCAGTGTGGAGGGGATCCTTTTCCCCTGCAGCCTCACAAGGGTTTGCTATTATTTGATTTCTTGATGATGGCCATTCTTCTTGGGGTAAGATTTTTAATTTTAAATCTGTGTGTGTGTGTGTGTGTGTGTGTGTGTGTGTGTGGTACCAGGGATTGAACTCAGGTCCTTGTGCTTGCAAGGCAGGCAGCGGAACCACTGAGCCCCTAATCTTAAATCTTTAATCTCAGTGTTTTAATTTATATTCATCTAGTGGCCACAGATGTAGAGCCTTTCTTCATGTATTTATTGGTTGGTTGTACTTCACTTCTGAAAAACTGTATTTCGGTTGCTCTTTTTTTGGTTGAATCTTTTATTATAGGTCTGTTTTTTGAGTTCTTTGTGTATTCTAGATTTTAGTCCTCTGAGGAATAGGAAGTTTTTCCCATTCTGTAGGTTGTCTCTTTGGTATGACGGTTGTTTCCTTTTCTGGGCAGAAGCTTTTTAATTTGATACAATCCATTTGTTGTTATTCTTGATGTTATTTCTTGTGCAAATGGGGATCTACTCAGAAAGTCCTTGCCTATCTATGTCTTCAAGTGTTTTACCTATTTCATCTTCCAGTAGATTTAGATCTTTGATCCACTTTGATTCTAGTTTAGTGCATGGTGAGAATTACTGGTCAAGATTCAGTCTTCTGCGCATGGATAGCCAGCTCTCCCAATGTTATTTATTCAAGAGGCTGCCTGTCCTCCGGGATATGATTTTGGCCCCTTGGTCAAAGATCAGATAGCTGAATGTGCCTGGAGCTGTTTCTGTATCTTCTATTCTGTTCCAACCATCCACACATCTGTTTTTGTCCCAGTACCGTGCTGTTTTCATCACTGTGCTTTGTTATATAATTTGATGTCCAGGGTTGTGATGCTTCCTGCGTCTCTTTTGTTGTCCAGGATGGCTTTAGTTGTTCTGGGTCTTTTCTGGTTCCATCTGAATTTTAGAGTTTCTTTCCCAAGTTCTGTGAACAATGCTGTTGGTATTTTGATTGGAAATGCATTTAATCTGTACACAAGTTTTGGAAGTATGGCCCTTTTGACTGTTGGTTCTGGCTATCCAGGAACAGGGGCTGTCTTCCCATTTTTTGATATCTTCTTCCATCTTTTTGAGAGAATACTGTAAATTGTGGGGTAGAGATCTTTCACCTCCTTGGTTAGGTTAATTCCTAAGTATTAAGTTTTTCTTGATTCTATTGTGAGTGATATTGTTTTCCTAATTTGTTTCTTGGTGAGTTAATTATTCACATATAGGGATGCTACTGATTTTTGTGTGTTGATATTGTATCCTGCTCCACTATTGAATTTGGTTATTCTAGGAGTCTTTGGGGGGAATTTTGGGGAGCTTCTCTGTAGAAGATCATGTCACTTGCAAATAATAATTTGACTTTCTTTCCTATACACATCCCTTGTATTTCTTTTTCTTGACTGATTGTTCTGGCTAGTTTTTCGAATACTATGTTAAACAGGAGTGGTAATACTGAACATCTTTGTCTTGTTCCTGATTGTAGAGCAAAGGTGTTAGGGCTCATGTCTAGATGTTCCCTCAAAGCCTCATGCTGTCATAGTTGAGACTTTTTAAGAGGTGGCTGGATCTAGAGTGTGTGATGCTGAGATTAAAGGAGTGTGATTACTAAATCAGCCACTGATTGGTGTGGCATAGTTCTGGGGGGATTAAGGGTGCCCCACCCTGGATAAAAATATAAGGGACAGAGAGATGGACAGTGGACTGCTTGTTGCTTGATTCTGCTTGTTGCTTTGCTATCTCCTGCTTGCTTGCTATGGACTATTTTCTCCTTTGTGATCCCCCTCTGCCCTGCCACTCTGTCTTGGAGCAAGCCAATTATAGACTGAACTCTCTACAAACTATGAGCCAAATAAACCTTTCCTCCTTTCACTTTTGGTGTTGGGTATTCTGTCTCAGCTATGAGACAAAAAGCAACTAAAACGAAGTTTTGCCGGGCGTGGTGGCGCACCTGTAATCCTAGCACTCGGGAGGCTGAGACAGGAGGATCACTGTGAGTTCGAGGCCAGCCTGGGCTACAAAGTGAGTTCTAGGTCAGTCTCAACAACAACAACAACACCCCCAAAGTTTTGTTTTCCCCATTTAATATGATGTTGGTAGCAGCTTTGTCATAAATAGCTTTTATCAGATTGAGCTAAGGTTCTCTTTCTATTTTCTTCATGAATGGATGCTGCATAGGTCAAAGACTTTTTCTGCATCTATTAAAATGTTCATGTGATTTTTGTCTTTGCTTCTGTTTTATGTCATGTATTACATTTGATTTGTGTAAGTGAACCATACTTGTATCCCTGGGATGAAGCCTAAGTAGTAATGGTGTGTGATTTTTTTGATGATTTGTTTGCCAATATCTTGTTCAGAATTTTTGCATCTTTGTTCATGAAGGAGATTGGCCTACAGTTTTCTTTTCTTTCTTTCTTTTTTTTTGGACTTGGGATTGAACTCAGGACCTTGAGATTGTGAAGCAGGTGGCAGAACCACTGAGCTAAATCCCCGGCCCCTGTGGTTTTCTTTTAGGGATAGAAATTTATCTGGCTTTGGAATCGGGTGAATGGTAGCTTCCAGAAATGACTTTGTGAAGACTCCTTTCCTTTCGGTTTCATGAAGGAGCTCAAGGAGTAGTGGTGTTTGACCTTCCCTGAAGTTCTTGTAGAATTCAGTGGTGAATCCACTGGGCCCTGGGCTTTTCTTAGTTGGTAGGTATTATTATTATTTTTTTTTATTGCTTCAATTTCATTGCCTACTTTTGGATTACTCTGGTTTTAAAATTTTTCCCGGTTCAGTTTTGGTAACTCACCTGTATCCAGGAATCGATCCATTTCCTCTAGATTCTCTACTCTAAGGGAGCACAGCTTTTTGAAGTGGGTACTAATGATCTTAGGGACTTCACGTTAATAC